TAAAATAAAAAAAAAATACAGAATGATAAATGCTAATGAAGTTATGTTGGAAAGGGAATACTTATAAACTGTGGGAATGTAAATTAATATAGCCACTGTGGAGAACAATAAGGAGGTTCCTCCAAAACCTACAAATAGAACTGCCATACAGCTCAGCAATTCCACTCCTGAGTACCTACTCAAAGGATAGGAAAGCACACCATTGAGAAAATACTTGCACACCCAAATTCTTTGGGTTACTCACAATTGCTAAGACTTTTAATCAGCCCTAATACCCAAGAATAGCTGAGCTGATTAAAAAAATATGGCACACAAAAAATAAGGAATGCTACTTGACCATAAAGAATACTAAAATTCAACAGTTGATATTAAGTGAATGAGTATGTAAAGTTTAATGCTGAATGAAGCAAGCTAGACTACGAAAGACAGACATCGTATATCCCCACTTACTATATATACCAAAATGCCTGCACTCTATGGCAGAAACTGAAAGACTGTAAAGTGTAATAGCAGGAAAAACAACCAAAGATACTAGAAATAGTATAGGAGTTGGTGGGTAACATGGAGGGAGGGAAGGAGTCAAAAAAAAAAATCAACAAAAACAAAAATTAAAAGTTATCTATTGATGATAACATATGTACATAGTAATATCTATTATTTAACTAATATGCACTGTATTCATGATGAGAAAATCACTTTGTATGTTACAATGATGTACAGTGATTAAATATAAATTTTAGAAACTATCTTTCTGTCCAAGCTCTATAAATAAATAATAAAATATGACCTTTTTTTTTAGGCAGTAAAAAAATGCAAATTTTCTTTTTTGATGTAGGCCGTCTGTGTTTGTCAGATATAGACAGAGACAGAAACAGAGACAGAGAAAAAATTAGACCTCACCCTCCCCAGGGGGAATGAACATGCCACAATCCCTTCTCTTGCACTCTCCTCTCAGGATTTTGGGCATAGCTACATATGCACCCATCCTGTTTTCAAGCTGCTGGATCCAGGACTTCAATCATGCAATCAGCCATGTGGTATCCAATGCCTTAACCTCCACACCACCTGCTGACCCTAAGTTTCAAACTTAGTAATATACTGTTAAAATTGCTTTATTATATATATAAAGCATATCAATGAATACTTTATTTCTTTCTTTAATTATCTAATGGTTTATTTACTTTAACACTCAAAATATTTATAAGAAATATTTCAATAAGATTTGTAGTGGGTAAGATTAAGTTCAACTCTGAATACAAAGTGTCAGGAGAAATATATGCCCAAGGAATAAAGTGAAAATAAGTGGACAGAAAATTACTAAGAAATAACATTGGGGGTAATGAAGATTGTGACCTGATCTACCCATGTGAATTATATGGAATTGTTCTAATAGGTCTAGGAGAAGTTTCAGATGACTTAACTAACTGTTTCTCAAACAAATTTTTAAAAATTATTTAACTTTATTCATTTATTTTCTTTGTTATTTTCATTTGACAAAAGAAAGACTGAGTGAGAGAGATAGAAAGTGAGAAAGCAAGCCGCCAGGCCCAGGACATGAACCATGGTTGTCCTTTTGGGAGTCCAGTGATCTTAACTACCATTTCATCTTCTGGACCCTCAGGTAAATAATTTTTCCAGTAGACAGAAACTATGAGCATAATGGAAAACAGATTTTCAGTAAAAATAAAATATAATTATTTGAAAACTTCTAAAATATTATAAAAACATTTGCTTAAAAAGACAATAAAATTTTACTTCAGGAAGACTCAATAAAATGTAAAAACTGGGGACCAGCAGGTGGCATAATGGTTAAGGCACTGGACACTGCCCCAAGGCTGACCACGGTTTGAGTCGCTGAATCTGGTGACTTATTTTCTCGCTTCCTCTTTCTCTCTCTCTTTCTCTTTGTCTCTCTCTGAATAAATAAATTAATTAAATTAAAAAATGTAAGAACCAATATCAAGCAAGTAGAGAGCTGATTGGATAACACTCTTTAAAATATTTATTAATGAATTAGAATTATTGAATGCTAAGAAAAGCTTGAACTATTCAAAATTAAGAGAAGACATGAAGAATCTTTTTAAGAGAGGCTTTTTCTATAGGTCTCATTGGCTTCCTAGAGAGAAAGAGAGAGACAGAGAGATAAAAAGAGAAAAATCACCCCTGCAAGGGGGAGGGCCATGGTGCAGTCCATTCTGCTGTCAGAATATTAGGCACACATGCACTTGTGCCCAGCATGAGTTTTAAGCCACCAGGACCAGGACTCAAGTTGCAATCAACTACATGTGAGTACAGTGACATAACTGTTATACCATCTGCTTCTCCCAACATGACTAATTTTTAAGTTAATAAAAACATTAAAAAGACAGTGCAAAACAACAATTCAATAATAAACACAAAAAATAGTAACTTTTAAATCATTACATGTTTTTAGCTAAGATTTTTAAAGAGCAGATAACTTTCAAGTGTGAAATAAGAAGTTACAAAGAAAAATTAACTGCAGAGGAAAATAATTTTAAAAAAATTATCTTATTTATTATTATTCAATTTGACCAGAGAGAAACAGAGAGGGATAAAGCATCACCAAGTCTGGGCCTTGAACCATGGTCAGCCATGTGGGAGTCCAGCACCTTAACCACCATGCCACCTGGTAGTCCTAGAAAATAATCTTTAAAAACTTGAGTAAAACCTTTCTATAATAAATAGCTAGGAGAGCTGAATGAAATGTTTCCCCCCCAAGGGATATATATTTTAAAAACACATTCAAAGAAAGCAAAAAACATTTAATATACAAAAATGAAGTTGATGATCTGTTGATGATGATAATGTATGTGGTAATACTTCTAACTTGACTTACACACTATTTATATTGGGTAAAACAATTTTGTACATTGTAAAGATGTACTGTGATTAAATGCAGTAAAAAAATATTTTAAAAAAGCTTTTTTTTAAAACTTGATATACTAGTGCAGGAAAGTATATAAAAAGACTAAATGAATACATTTTAGAGTATAATTCTGGAAAATGGTTGAAAAACTGGAAATTCAGGTATTATTGAAGTATTCCAGAGCATAAGGAAAATAAAAAATGCTTGCATGATGTTTTCTAAAACTAAAAAAAAAGATGGCATTTGGAATACACCACATTGTAGAAGGACTTCTGAAGGTAAGTAGAATCATGGTGAATATAGCAAGTAATTGAGTGCCATGTGTTTCTTTCTTAAGGTTTTGCTATAGGGACTGTGTGCTTACCAGAAATAGACAGAGAAAGAAAGTGAGAAATCTCTCCTGTTGCTGGATGGCCTCTAATCTTGGGATTTAGGCATGCACACACACATGCCTGGCATAATTTGAAAGCAGTTGGGTCCAGAACTTGAATTATAGTTGGTCATATGGAGTACAACACCCTCATCACTGTACCACTTGCTGGACCCAAGTGCTGTGTATTTCAATATTGCTAAGAAAGTACATTTCTACCGAGATAGCTACTAAACTTGAGCTGTGAACTATTAAATTCATTGACTAAAAATGAAGATTTTATGTTGAGACTTCTCCCTAAAGATTTGTTTCTAATGGGAAAGGCACAAACCCAGGCCCATCCTGAGATGACTACTGAACTTGAGCTGTGAAATATTGCTTTCATCAACTAAAAATAAAGATTTTCTGAGACTTCATGGAAGTAAAGATTTCTTCTGAAATAAAATATTCATTTCATAAAGATTTTCTTCACTTCATGAAGATTTTCTGAGATTTTATTGACTAAACATGAAGACTTTCTGAGACTTCTCCCTCCAGATTTATTTCTAGTAGGTAGGGCTACCTCTGTATCCTTCTCTCAGTCTCTCTATCTTGGTGTATTTTAGTTCCTTTAAGGTAAAGTACTCTCTGGGCTCTCAAGCCCCTCCTTTATTGTGCTAATTTTTGCCTTTCCCCATCTTGTTTAGGAAAGAAACAAACCCAGGCCAGTCCTGAGATGGCTACTGACCTTGAACTGTGAAATATTCTCATTTTTGGCTTTTTAAAATCAAAATATAAGATTTTTAAAGTATCTTTATCTTTCTTCTTTTTTTGTTTTATTTTCTCTTCTTCTTTCCTCTTCTCTAATTCTTTTCCGTTTTTCTTTATCTTTATTCCTTAGCTTTTCAGCATCCACACACTGAGTGTCTAGACAGGTCCAAGTGAAGAGTATCCAAATATCTAAATATAATTAGGGTAAGAATATTCCTCAATTCCTACTGAATCTGATATGCAAAGAGTGAAAAATGGAACAGAAGAGAGATTGCAGATCATTCCTCCTGCGTACCTCTGAACGCTCATATTGAACTTCAAGAATTAGGAAGAAACACACAATTCAAAAAAAGAACATATTTCTTTGACTAATGTGCATTGTATTCATGCTGGGGGAAAATATGTTATACGCTATAAATTTGTACAGTGATTAAATGTAAATTTAAAAAGATCTTTCCAACAAAATGTACTTTTCTGATGTTTTCATTACATAAAATATAAAATATTTAAGGTTACATATATATACCTTAATTTAATTCATCCATATCATATTTTTGAAATTCTAAATTAATTTGTATTTTATAAATATGCATAGCTATAATTTCCCTATATATGATTTTTAAATATACTCTTTATTCATATCCCTATCCAAACCGTTTTTCTCTTGCCTTTATAAATTAATGCTCCTTCCTTAAAATTAACCCTGTTCAGATGACAGCATTATTACCCAGATAAATGAGACCTTGTCTCACTCACAATGTGCTCAATACCTCTCTTTGTTGTTTGGATATAATTTGCTTACACAGAGGGAAAAAGCAGTTTCAAATCTTTCCAGAACTCTGAGAACATTTATTATACCAGCTACATAGACCAGTGCAGGAGCATCTCTACATGACATCCAAAGGCCAGCATTTTGTGTTTCATAGGAAGACAGAGATTACTCTAAATCACATGATTTGACCATATTTTTGTAATACCATTCCCCCTGCTTAGGTGGCATTGGAAAAACTACCAAAATGTTTTGATATTTCTTTTTGCCATCGAGGAGATCAACAAGAGCCCCCATTTGCTTCCCAACCTTTCCCTGGGTTTTTATCTCTACAATGCACTCCCCAGTAGCCAAAGGACCTTAGAAAGTACTCTGTTTTTGCTCTCTGGAATGAATCAAACTCTGCCTAACTACAACTGCCAGACACAGAAAAAATCTGTTGCTGTCATCGCAGGACACACATCAACATTTTCAATCCAAATTGGAACTCTTTTGGAGCTCTACAAAAGCCCACAAGTAAGTTAATGGCAATTCTGGAGAATGAAGTTTGAGACTCAGTGAAATTTTCTCACATGTGAGCAAAGTAAATGTGTAAACTGGGTTTTCATACCACTTGAGAGTTAGAAACAGACCACAAGGAATTCCCTGGGTCACAAGATTATCAACAGTGCAAGGGTATGTGTCCCAGTGGAATCTGAGAGATTCAAAGCAGATTACTGGTTGTGGTCAATTGCCATTGAAGACAACTCAAAGATATGTACCTTCTAGAAAATGTACACATTTCTAGAGAACACAGAGAATCACCCCATATTTTGATAGGACATTATCAGGGGACATTTAGAGGATAATGACAATTAGATGTGAAATTATAAAGACCTTTGAATCTGATTATATTTGGAACAAATAAGAAAGGACACTCCAGCACTGGAGATTCCCCCCTAACTGGCTATGGCTCAGTTAATCTGCTGTCATTTATGAGTTCCCTCTGACTTTTCTCACATCCACATGGGTGAATCTCTTGAAAGCACTTCCAGTTACTCTCCACATCACCACTCTCCATCTCAGAGATTCCTTCCAGGGAAACTAACACAAGTTTCAGAAGACAATACTGATAAACACACATAGTAAATCTAAGGGAATTATGCTCTTCAAAAATTATATTTTGAAAATACCAGAGAGTGGGCCAGCAGGAAGTGTGGTGGTTAAGGCACGACTCGCAGATGGCTGACTGTGATTTGCATTCCAGACCTGGTGGCTTGCTTTCTTACCTTTCCTCCCTTCCTGTCTCTTTCTGGTGAGCATATGTGCATTCAGCAAATTAAAAATAATAATAATATCAGAGAGGATAAGTGGTTATAGTTTTAAAAACAATATGGGTAATTCTTGGATGATAAGTCACAGTGCCAAAAAATCAGTATAATAAACATATTTTGAGGAGTTTGATTTACAATTAATTGGTAGAGGACTTGAACCATAAAACTAGTCATGTGGGTCCCAGAGCCTTAACCACCACACTTTAAAAAAAATGGAGAATGCCAAAATTCACTCTAGTAGATATAGAAGGTCAACCAATTACCATAGAAGAAACAACTAGTTAAAGAACCCCTTGACCAAAAAAGTGTGAGGCACAGATTTTCCATGGAGAGTTCTATCAACCATTAAATTTAATAATCTCAAATGTTGCTTAATCAATTCCAGGGTCAGAAAAGTTCTCTTCCAAAAGAAAAAAATAAATCTTCCAAACTAATTTTTTACAGTGAATGCAATAGCATTGTGCCAGGGTCTGGCCTCGGCAGTGGTGGGTGGCTCGTACACAGGAAGGCAACATGGGGGATCAGGAACAGAAAATTAGACTGAGACCTCTTTGCTCCTTAGCATGTTCTCAGCCAGCCACAGCCAGAGCCAGTTCCAGGCTGCCGCACTGTGGCTAATAGGACATGTGTATTTATTGAGGGAGGTTTAGGAAGTAAGGAGGGTGAGGGGTAGTAAAAAATTTGCTCTAAGGAACAGGGTATACAAAGCATGGAAGCAATAATTATAAAACATGCTGTTTGTCTTGTCAGATCAGGTGAAATCAATCACAGTTCTCAGGATGAGGAAGTCCATTTGTCTGTTGTATCTTCTTCTTAGATCTTGATTACTGGGAAGGGTCTTTTGAAGAGGGGCCTTGCAGGATGTTTGATAACTTCAGTCCTGGGCCAGGGTGATAACGTTGCTGGTTGCAAAGACCTAGATAGAAATCTTGTCTTGCTAAGTAAAGACACAGTTAATATATGGACTATCTATACATTACAACAATAGAGGGTGAGTCTATGATCTTATATAGGAAAGGAAGATGATCTTGTAGCTCAAGAGACAACACAGGATGTTTTATTAGCAGTTTTTCATAGTCAACAGCACATAGATGAGAAACTCTTTGTAGTTGAAAGCTACCTGTTGCTTTAGATAAGAGCTCCCAGCTAA